GTAGTGCACTGGAGCCTTGAGCTTTGTGTGAGGGGCTGTACAAGAAGAGTGTTCTAATTCAGAGGCTGAAAGCCAAATGTAAGACCAGAAAAATGAAAATGACACATACTTGTCACAGGCACAGGGAGCATGAGAGAAGAAAAGCAGTCAGAGTGCTGCCAGGTCTTTTTATAGGCCATACAGACAAGGAGAGTGTTGGAGAGCTCAGAAAGACTATTTTTCAACACACATTAATAAGAGCCTAGTTACAAGGATGGGAGGAAGCACAGAGATGTTTGAAATGGCAGCAGGTAGGCAGTGGAACTGGCCATCACAAGCTGATCTCGGGAAAAGAGCTGCTATCCCAGTAATACTCTGGATCAGATAAACAGGGATGAGCTAGGGAAAGACAGATCTTGAAGAAGAAGGAGCAGCACAGAGCAAAGGGCTAAGAACAGTCCTGCATTGTGAGGACAAGGGCTTAGTTATCCAAGAATTTTCTTTCCCTCTCTTGTTTCTCAGGGGGAGGAGCGGTGTTTCAAGGGAGAATAATACAATCATTTGACTGTGTTGAGAGATTTATGGTTTGACTTTACCATGTGTTAAAATATTGATTCTCTTTCTAACATATGCTTGAGATATTGACAATAGTTTTTTTCTATTTAGAAAACTGACTTCTGCAAACAAAAGGTGGACTTCATGGTAGAATGCAACGAGGATGGGTAAAAACAAAGTGATATAAGAGCAGCACAAGTCTCAGATTTCTTCCACTCAATTAAATAAAGATAGCAAGAGAGACACTGAGCAGTGTGTGGCAGTGAGAAGCTGGAATAATTAAACAATAATCTGACAGACGGTGCACTTACGGGCAATTACAGCAAGCCTCTGCTGGCACTCCAGGGCATGAGGCCAAAGACTTAAGCGATTCAAACCACACAAGTAGAGCAGTAACCTCCTAGAAATGCCAGTATAGAGCATTTGGCTTAGGAGCTCAGAATGGGACTTACATGGAGCCAGGTCTCTGCATTTACCAGGTGTTAGAAGGAAGAGCAGCCTGTCAAAAAGCTGTTTCTGTGTCCCTTGCATAATGCATTTCCAGGCAAGTCTCCTTCCTTCTTGCATACAGCTTGAGGATCCCATTGCATCAAACAACAAACTTAAGTATATTCAGAAAGCTCAGCTAAAAAAAAAATCATTTGTCTGTCAACTCCCTTTCAAAAACAAGGACTGGGTTAAACACCAAGCTATCAAGCTCCTAGGCTCTGAAGGCAGTTGGGATTCCTGCAAGGAGCCACGCCAGGCTTTCTCTTCCTTGCCTTACCCCACCCAGTAAACCCAAACCACCTTCCTCCTCCCGTCTCTGAAGCTGGGCTCTGTGTCCCATGGTACCACTCAGCGGCTTCAGGGACAATTGCATTAAATCTGCAGGTGTATTTCAGAAAGCACTGGGATGCATCGTTCACCAAATGCTGCCACACCACATTTCTGATCTCGTCAGCACATAGAGAGATGAAACAAGCTCTAGAAATTTAGAAAAGAAGAAAAAAAAGAGAGCTACAAGTGGGAAGCAAACACAGATCAGGTGCTGTTAAAAGCTTCTTATACTGTCAACAAAGTATTTACTTAAACTCAGAACAGAAAGTCACCTTCAAGATGGGTAGTTCTCATGAATGTGGCTTTAAACACCTCATGTCTGGAGCTACATGATTATACAGGACTCTGAACCAAATTTTTGCTTTTTAAAGTAAGGACTTGATTCCAGACTTTCCTGTCATATGGAAAACATGAACTTGAAAGGCTTAAAAAGCAGAAGGAAAATAAAAAGCATTTAAAATGTAAAGACAAAAACCAAGCCTTATAAACAAATGAGACTGGCAACATTGCTTCACCTAAATGCTTTTTTCTTCTATTTAGTAGGAGATGTTTCTCAAGACTTGAAATAAGTGTTGTTTTGTATCTGCAGGGCTTTCAGCAAGCGGCTGCCAAATTACGAAACCCTCTGGATTCCAGCAATGCACATCTCTGCTGTCTGCTGCACTCGGAGTATCTGGGAACAGGAGGAGGAAAACAAGCTTATCATTTATAAAATTATTGCTGGTTTTGTGGTTGTGAGGCTCTCTACAGTGCACAAGAATAACTTGTTTGTGACATCAGTAAAATAAGGATGTGCAACCTGGAGCGCGTTGTCCTCTCCATGGATACAACGCTTATGCTTTCTCAAATAACACTGGGTTTCATCCCGAGGTCGAGTCTCAGGACTCTGGGAAGCTTCATGCCATGGGGACACAACTTGAGACCTGGGCACAAGGACAGTCTTGTTCTGACTGCTTCAGTCCTGTGGAATGACACCAAGATAATGCACTGACTCAGCACAGTCCCATTGCAAGTGCACGGTGCTTTTCCCAGATGGAAGTGTTTTGGCAAACAGCTTCCTAGATATTCCTGGCAACTGGAAAGGCCTGTGAGAGAAATGAATGGGTATTTGAGCACATGTCGACCCCAGAGGCCAAAAAGATCAAAAAATGGGGTATAACTATTCTTTCTTTAGCAGAAGAGGTTGGATCCCTCATCTGTAACTGGAAAATTTACTTTTTTTCTTGTTGTTTCTCTGCCAAGAAAACAAGGGGAATTAGGTCCTCTATTAAATGCTTTTCCCTCCTCTTAACTATAGCCAACAGCATTCTAGTGAATAAATACCAGCCTTACTCAAAACTAAACCCAGTCCTGTTTTTAAGGCACTTTGAAAAGTAGGATATTAAGCTGCATGTCCATGCCTCTCTCCTCTCTCTCATCCAGACCTCCCAGTCATGAAGGTGGTAACTATGATTCTTTTTTTCCCAGGAAAGGAAAAAAAGGAAGGAGGTGTCTTAAAAACAGACTTACTCGAAACTGTTGAAAACAACCTCCACAATCACGCCTGTCCCAGTGCTATCAGCTTTCTAGATAGGCTGCCAAGCTGGCATTTGAGTAGCTAAGAAAATGGATCTAGTACAGGATGCCAGACTCCTCAGTCACTAAAATGCTCAAGTAACAAACTGAGTTGACCATTGTTTCTTATCACCAAGCAAACAAACGCTGTTGGCAGGAAAACTGCTTTTGGAAAGTGATTCCCTGCACGACCGAGATGGGCTCCAAATGCAAGTGTTCACATAATGCTGGACTCCAGGTGGCCATTGGCACTGTGAAGGACACTGGCAAAAAACCTGGCCTACAATTTGATTTCAACATCTTGCTTTCAGTTCATTTCTGTTGCTCTGCAGGCCATATTTGTTACCACAGGAATAACTCCTGCTTTCACAGTGCAAAATTTTCAGTCATAACTGGGTCTTTTATGTTCATTTTTAGCCATAGCCATATCTAAGATGCTGGATTAGTTCTTAAAAACAAACTGACAAACAACTACAAATTACTGATCTGCAAATTGCATGTACTGTTTAAAATATCCTGGTCTAAAAACATCCATCATAAAGCAGTGCCTTGTTCTTTCCCTTCCAGTCAGCGCAAAATACTGATTGGCACATGGAAAAGCACATCAGACAAAGCAGCTTTTCCCACTGAAATCAGTGGGAATGCTTCTGAGCACTTCAAAGGGTAGAGAAGGATGTCCCCAGCAAGCACATCCATTTCACAGCCTCATCAACGGCAATCTTCTGACCTGAAAGTGAATATGTAAGGACAAAAAAGACCCATTTCTGTGCTGCCCAGGGGTGTTATCTTTGGCCAGCTCCACAAAAGGCAGGAAGGAGGAGCCCTGCTCTCACCCTCTGTGGGCTCTGCTGGCCTCCAACCCAGCATCAGGCGAGGCTTCAGCGAGGTGGAACCGGGCTACCTGAGGGATTGTCAGCTTCCTACTCTAGGCTGCTTAGAGGAAAAAGGAAATAGTCCTGGAACAATGCAGACAGAGGCTTTAAATAACTATCACAGAGATGCCGCTTACTGGAAGTTAAAAGTTTTATCAGTGTTCTCCCAGCAAACCTTGGATCCCACAGCTGACACCTGAACTAGCAGAGGGAAGGAAGCATGCAGTCAGCCACCACCAAGGCAGAACAGAAAAGAATTATTAGCAAAATCATTTTCTCCTTCATTTTACTCATCCACGGCCATCCATATGCATAGCAAGAAGCCAGATCTCAATTCCAGAACACTGAAAGGAGCCGTCCCCGCCTGCCAAGGCCAGGTTAGCAGGATTACCAGCCTGGACTGCCAATCCCCAGGCACACAGGGTGTGCAGGGCGCACAGGCAAGCTCATTAGCAAACTCTAAAATTACAACACATCCCGGAATCGGGGCTTGCTGGGACATGGCCAAGGCACTGAGCAGGTGAATCCCTCTCCGCCCATCCCGGGGCACACGCGGCTCCCCGCGGGGGTTTCCCAGGGAAGCTGCTCCCGGTGGCAAAGATCCTCCAAAAGGCGGACCCCTGTGGGGGATCCCGGTGCACTGCCCCAACAGGTTCGGCGACATTTAAGCTCCCAGTGTTTAGAAAGACAGCGGCTTTTACTGCTGTTTACATGTCAAACAGCAGCATGATTCACATCGCGAAGCCCGAGGCGCTGCCTGGAAACGAAAACCGGGACGCGTACGCCCTGGCCACGCCCGTCTGCTGGACGGTGTCTGCTGGGGATTTTATTTACAGAAGCAGAAAATAAACCATAAAAGCGCCTCAAAGCCTGAGTTCCGCGGCGGGCCCCGGCAAGCGGACAGGCAGCGGCTCGCCGGGGCCGGGCAGGCCCGCGCAGGTGGAACAGCTCCGCCCCAGAGCAGGGCCCGACGCAGCTGAGGCGAGGAGCGGCATCCCGGAATCCCAGGACCGGGAGAGCCCCGGGAAACCGCTCCCGCCATGCCCGGGGGACCCCGGCGCAGCGCCACGCCAAGGACTACAGTTCCCAAGGAGCATTGGGGCAGCCGGAGGCCCAGTAGGCCTACCATTCCCAGCACGCTCCGGGGGGCACGGCTGGGGGGCGTGGGCGTGGCGCTGCGCAGTGCATGCTGGGAGCTGTAGTTGTCCCCGGGGGTGGTGCCGTGCCGGAGTCGCCATGCCGGAGGGAACGGGAGCGCTGCGGGAGGTGCTGCCCAAGCAAGGTACCGGCGACGAGCAGCGCCCGGCCCTGCCCGCCCAGCCCGCCGCTCGCTCACAGCCCTTTTCTCCCTTTGCAGGGCAGCTGTCGGTGGAGGACACAGTCTCCATGGTGCTGTGCAAGCCCAAGATCCTGCCCCTCAAGTCGGTGTCGCTGGAAAAGCTGGAGAAGCTGCAGAGGGCGGCGCTGGAGGCAGCCAAGCCGCCCGAGGCGGCCCCGCCGCCGTCCGCGGGGGCCGCGCCACCCCGGCAGTAGCGTGGGGAGGGTCGTGCCCGGCCGCACCCGCGATCGGAGGTAGCGCTGGGTAACGGGGCTGCGCGTTGAAATGTGGCCTGAACGCAGGCGGTGGTGCCGGGCTGGGCGGGGAGGCCTTGCGTCGGGCGCTGTTGGTTTACAAGTTGCGCTGGTCGCGGCCCAGGCCATGTTCTAAACGCGTCTTTAGAGGTACCAGAACCCCCTCGCAACACGGGAGGAGGAGAGTTCCACAACCCCCTGCTCCAAGCCAGCCTTACCAGACCCGCTCGAGCACTGAAACGCTCGGCTTCTAGAGCACAGCGTCTTCCGGGCCCTGGAATGGCTATTCCCAGCATTTCAGAACACCTAAAATCTTGACATTAAACTGGAAAACAAAGGAGGGGCTTTACCGTATTCCTGTAAGCGAGTCTTCCTTAGATCCGTCTCGTTCTTGAGCAAGGGCTTTGCGAAGCTCTGCTGCAAAGACACGTTCACAGTATCTATACCAGCCTGGACGCTCCCACGCAAGTCAGTTGTGTTTTCAAAAACAGATCTGGTAAATACTTACTTACCATAAGCTTAATTATTCTGTGCTCTCCTCCTGATTGCAATGCCAAAGACTAGCGTTAGATGTACTGCTTAATTTATTCTGTTTAAAATAAACAAAAAGGAGGCAGAAACAAGAGCTTCACAAAAAATATTTTTAATATGTTTTACCAGAACTTTTCACTTTTCCAGTTACATAGAAAAAAAGACAAGTTTGGTACATGGGGGCTGAAACCAACCAGTGTTCTCCCCTGAAACAGATGAATTAATCTTGTGACCCAACTGCATTTTCTTGGGCTCTTTAAAACAAAGAAACTGCTATTTTTTTTTTAACTCCCAAAGCACAGTATTTCTTTAGCAGCAATGGAAATGGGATCACAGCAGCTTAACTTGACCCTTCTATAATAAAGCTTTGTATAAACCAGTGATTTTATGATGACAGCACTGTCCTGGAAAGAGCGAGCGGCAGTCAGACATCGATGCACACGTGGAATGATTAGGTCATAAACATGGCACATACAGAGATAGCTTATTTCAAGGCACCACCACAGCAGAGTGGCCAGTTGTTCTACTATATGCCCAAAGAAAGAACACTTCTTCCTGAAATTTACAAAACTATTAAAAAAAAAAAAAGAAAACAATTTGTACCCAAAACATGTGCTCTTAAAAAAATACGAACTGTGCTAAGCAACTCTTAAATTTGGTATGTCCTAGATGTGTATACATATATACATACACACACCAGAGGAGCATGCGTTTGTATATATCGATAGCGAGCTATGTTCCCTTTCAACTTGTAAGGCTTCAGGAGGCAGCTCTCACATTCAGTAGCTTTCTAGCTTCAGACGACCTCCATCTCCTTCACTCACAAAACGCTTCCTGCCCCTGTAAGAAAGCAGAAAATATCTTTTCAGTAATTTAGAGGAGCATTGCTTGTTTTTTCTTGCTGAGAGGAATCTTTTCCTGGGTCTTGGAAGTCAAATATAAAGTGAGTTCAGCAGGGTTAGCAGTGATCACAATGTCAGCTCAGCTGCTTAAAAATGCTAGTTGGGAAACCTAGGGATAGTGGTTTTCTACTTAAAAACTCAAGTACACAAACCAAAAATACCTCTCAACATATAACTGGTAACCAAAGTATAATCAAGCTTTTGATGCAATGATGACTCTCAACCCTCCCACACACCCAAACCTGCAAAACATTTGATACCAACACACACACACAGTTTTAAGTGTAAAGTCCACGAATGGAGGCTGTTCTTGATGAAGATGCTAACATTCCAAGATCCAAATTTATCACAAGCTGTCAAGATGGTTTAAGAACTCTAACAAAACACTCAAAATAGAAAGGACCTGTCAAATAAATAGTATTCCCAATGCATAAAACTGTGAATAATAGTTTTAACATCCTATTTAAAAATTTACATCTATTCCTCAGAGGAAATGAAACTTACCAACAGTTTTGTGACCAGTAAGGAGGTAACAGCATACTGATTATGTACAGTTCACATAGCATTATTTATGCTACGAGTAACAAACCAAAATCATTATACAAATCACAGGACAGATAGGAGGAATGGGCTGTGCAGAGTTTATCCCATACTAGTCTGTTCCTTTTTTATATAAATGTTACGACTGGTTGTCTCATCTTAGAGCTCTACGTACACTGTTTGGCAAGTTTAAACCATTTTAAAAGGATTTTTTTTCATTTCTCCAGTACAGCTGACAGTTTTCCACTGTCACCTACACAGACCATTGTGACACCTGGATCTTCCAGCTTGGTGCTGCACTGATTTCTACCAAGCAAATCGGGAAACCAGAGGAGAGGCAGCCTTTATCCTCTGGAGAGCACTGAGGGGTGCTGCCTGGGATTCACAGGAGGCTCAAGAATTTATCTCAGCCTCAACAGGCTCCACATCAGTGCAGCTTCTTAATACACGTTTTACCAGTCCAACTGTTTGTCCACCCTCCAGTTTCAACTTCCAGTCAGTAACACTTTGGTCCTAAGATGCTGCTCTCTGTAGCCCATGATAGGAATGAAGAGCAGGGACTTGGCCTGTCTACAGTGAAAAAGTACCTGGAAGGGCAGAGGTCTCTCAGTGGTTTGGAGATGATTCCAGCCTGAAAGCATTCCTCGACAAAGCGCTCGAGCACAGAATAGGAGTGTGGCACATCCAGGTTAATGTCTGGGATTTCACAGTAAACCCGTTCATAGCCCTGCAGTGTAAGGATTCAAATAATCATCAGGTTATTCTATGATTTCATTCCAGTGTTTTTAAATACTCTTCTGCATTCCAGAGGATTTTTTTAATATGGTTTCACAAACCTAAAGCATTGCAGCTACAAGTCAGTAGAGAAATAGGGTATATAGTATCAGCCCATATCATGGCAGTATACAAATATCTGTCTACATAAAAACACAACCTGAACTTTTAATTTCTTTACAAGTCAGAAATCCAGACAGTATGAAATCTGTATGTTAGCCTGCCTGTTACTACACGGATAGTAACATGGGATGAAAATTAGTAAGTCTTCCATGTAAGTGAAGAAAATGTGGCCACAAATGACCACCAAAAGTTTATGCAGCAGGGGAGAGACTGGGGACAACCAGAGATGACTTCATCACCTCCCACCAGCAACACAGCTGGATCAGTTTTTATACAAGTGTTCATGAGATCCCTAGTCTGCCCTGGGACAGAACTGCTGTCCTATACTCATCCTGAGAAGTAAAGTCATGGATGATTCCAACTGTGCAAAATACTGGTTTCTATCCTGCTCTACTTGACATCTGTAATTAGTAGGCCTTTATTGTATTATGTCACAAAGAACTACAAAAAAAAGACAAATTTAAAAGATGAAGCAATATTGAAGCATTTTAGATGGTTACTTTTAACCATTTAAATAAAGGCAGCTGGAAATTTTGAAAGACCTTATGCAAAGTTCTCTAAATGCCATACTTACTCTTTTCATTTGGTCCACGGTAATGACAGAAGACTTCCACAGAGTTTTCAACAAATCCAGTATCATTTTAAAGGTCTTTTCTCCAGTTGACTCCAAAACCAGTACAATGGCCTAAAACAAATCATGCAAGTGTTTTGACTAAAATGAAAACTCTGCTTCAGGTACAAGGTGTGTGATCATATGAAGTACAAAAAGGAATGAATGCACTATTATGAATCTTCTGGGGAAAAAAGCCCATTTTCTACATTAACTCACAACTTCAGTTTAGTAATATTATTATTATTAGAAAAGAAAAACTGATGAAAAGTTCTTTGGGTAAGAAAAAAGGTATGAAAATCCAGAAAGGACAAGACAGAGTGAAAAGCATTGCCTGTCTCTGGTTTCAGCACTATGGCTATATCCATATGGCTGCTGCAGTACAGATGGCAATTAATTAATTTTGTGAAATTAATTTTGGATCCATGGGGTTTTAATTTTGTATCCAGGGGGATTTCTTATCTGTGATTTTAGAAGGACTCAGATGCTTAAAATCTACAATACTGCACAACCCTCATCAATTGAAATGATTCTGTAGTTCTATTGTGAAGGAATTTTCTATAACAAGTTAATTTACTGAAAAGGAAAGTTTGTAGATTGTGGGTGTTCAGCTTTATTGGTAAACAACCATTTCCCAATTTGGCAGATAAAAGAGTACAAATGGGAACAGTCTGCCATATAGGCTGGGTCTGAAATATGTAAGCTTTTACAAATGTGCTGGGTTAAACAATCCCACCCTGAAAAAGGAAGCTCTATAAGCTTAACAAAACCAGGTAACACCCATCAGAATACCCAGATATCTGAAACTAGGAGGAAATAAACACCAAAACAAAGCATGGGAGGGTTTTCTTGTTGCTATTTCTCAGCAGAAAATAAAAGGAGATATTATTTTCAGGAATTTATAATAATCTGAATTCAGCTATTTAACCCCCCAGAATTACTTCTGGATCTTCCCAGAGTCAGCACCAGCTTACTTGTTGCACAATGCACACACAAATGAGCACACAAACCATTAACTTTACATGAAACAATTTAGTTATTCAAATAACAGAACGAGCAACCTAAGCTTCAGATGCATTATGTTATTTGCATGCCCACATCAAAATACCAACAATTAAAGGGACTCTGTTTTCTCCTTACTTCATATACAAGTTCATGGTGAAAATGGGGTACTTCCAGTTCCTGAAGGCAGCGTTCTGCTTCCAGTACATCTCCAGAAAGCAAATACTCTTTCAGCAACATATCAATCTTAAATTTTAAAACAAAAACCCAATAGTAATTAGATACAAAATTCAAAAGCTGTCAACTATTTCGATAATCTACTGTCAACCCAGCAGCAAGTTAGTTCCTCAAACTTGGTGCCAATACTTTTATAAATGTAATTAAATTCAAGCATTAATTAAATGGAGGTGTTATCAGTAACCTGAAACACCGTGTAAGCCAAATACCTATCCACATTGTTGATACAGAAGCACCAAAAT